GTGGAGCATACTTTAAAAGTTTGACTGTACACGCACTGTAAAAAAACTTTTACTTTTTGATGAAAGAACATTGTTTTTCTTTGGAATAACATGCACTGATGAATTGTGCATAATAAGACCAGGACAATATAGTAAGAAAGTAAGGCTACATATACACTAATTTGAATACTTTTTCTCTGAGATTTGTGTTTTTGTCCTGTAAAAACTGAGGTTTTTGAAGACGCTCTCTCAAGTGGATACATTTTAAAATGCTGTTTTCACGTAATAGTGTAGACTGTGAAAACGGAGGCATTTAGTTTAGTCACGTGGCACATACTGCACCAATACATATCTTTATACTGATATTGTGCCTTATGATGTGCTGTTTACGTTCACACTCTTGCTGGAGATGTTCATTTGTACACTCTTCATATCACAGTACTGCAAAGATCACAGAAACTGTACTTGCAATTGCTGCAAAATATGAGGCAGTTGTGTTTTAGACCAAACATATAATGGTGATTGAGTGCAACCTGGACACATCAGTGAAATAATCTTGCCAGAAGAATAGAGTTTGATCTTTGTGTCAATTCTGTCTGCATCAACTCAGTGAGCTCTTATGGGATTTCCAACGTTTCATTGTGGATGAGAAACATCTGGAAAAGGCTAGTGTGGATGGAGAGCTTTTTGAAACGAAAACACCATTTTCAAACGTATCCTGGTTAATATAGGCGTAGCCTAAATGAGGTCAATTTTGCTTTCATGTCTGTGGACTGAATCTACAAAATGTTGCTTAACACTGGCAAAATAATATAAAAAGTCATTCTTTTTCATCCCTCGTAATAATTGAACTGGGAAATAACTGACTAATAAATAACAGTATATTTTAAAAGTGTATTTAAGTGTAAAACACAACACATTTAAATAAATGTTTCAAATATACAATGATGTGATGTTACTATTATGCAACATGATGCAGCAAGTATTTACATGGAGCTGAACTCCGTAAACTCCACCAATGGGAATTACACTGTCGATGCATAAACAACTGTTCCGCCACCGAAAAAAGTTACACCTCAAAAGGACAATTTAGACAACTTTTTGATACCATTTCTATTAGTATAGAGTAGACTGTAATAGCTTCACCCAGGTTTTAAACAGAAACATGAGATGTCACACTCCAAGGAAACTGTAGAGCAGTGATCCTCAAATCTGGCTCGCGAGATCCACTTT